AAAAAAAAAAAAAAAAAAGAAATACACAAAGTCTTTCCAAGTGGGTGAAGAGGGGTGGGAAGTCCATCAGGGAAGCCAGGTACATGACAAATGGCACCCATGTGAAAGACTAAGTCATGTTTCTAAAGGATGGGCCCAAATATCACTCAATTTTATGCAAAACCTGCTCCTCCCAAGGCTTGCCGCTCTCATGGTGCTCGCAGGAACAGAAGCCCCAGATGAAGCCTCCCCGCACTGCCTCGGCTGCCTTGGGGACGTCACCCTGTGTGTGTGGCTGCTGCCCTGCCACTGGAGAAAAGTTCAGCAAGAGGTAGGATTTGATGGGCAACAGGGAGTCCATGAGATGCGCCGCTACTTTAGTCTTCAAGGCCACTGGCGATGGGTAAGTGTGTATTTCACTGCAGAAAGTTCACTGTGTCAAATGTGGATGGACCTCAGTATAACACTTATGGGGGTGAAAAACATAAAACAGCTCTCACTTCCCCAAAGTGACATGGGAGACCATGCTTACACTGACAAAATCATGGAGATCAAGACTTTGATCAAGAGAAATAGTGTCAATTCAGTATTTCAAATGGTTCTGTTCATGGAAAGGCTATCTGATTCAGGTATGTTCCAGAAGTCTTAGGCCCTGTCTGTCTTTCCTATAATGAATTCCCACTCCTTGGCCCAAAAGGAAGGGCAATCTTAGGAGATCCTGGTTCTCTAAAGGACTAGCTGAAGGGAGGGAGCCGTCCTTACCCACAGAGGCCAGGTGCCGGCAGGTCTCCAGCATCACGTCTCTGTAGAGCCCCCTCTGAGTGTGATCCAGCAGTGCCCACTCTTCTGGGGTGAAGTCCACAGCCACGTCCTCCAAGACCACCGAGGCCTGAAACACCCCGCATATCCTGTTTCAGCAAGGCACCACCTCACCAGTGCGGGAGGGTGGGGGAGGTTGACCATCGGGACATTGGCGTCACCTCCTAGGCCTCCTGAGCTCACATGCTCATGGGAAATGAAAATAAGCAAGAAAATCAAGTGGAATATATTCAGAGGTGTTAAGTGCTTGGGAAGTTGAAGCAAAAGGGGGAAAATAACGACTGATAAAAACTTAGACACACACAATTTTAAAATTAAGATTATTATTACTGAGCAGATTCTGAGGTATAGTAAAGACTGAAAAATGAAATCATCAATCAGATAACATGCAAATCAATACTTGGCTCAATAAAAAATCATTATTTCCTTGTCAGCTCCAAGAACTAGAATCAGCCGGTCAGGATGTCACCGATACTTAAATTCAAGTGCTGCCGGATCTGAACAGCTCTTGCCGTGGAAATGTTCAAATGTCAAGCTACCTCGCCTAGTCCCTTCATTCCAACATAGGCGGGGTCCCTCTCAGGATTAGGTAGACACTGTAGCAATACATGTAGGGACAGGGACACAGGGGCTTAGTTCATCAAGAACCTGGCAAGACAGAAGGACCCCCTCAAGTATATAACCAATGTCTCGGAAATCTGAGGAAAATGGCGTCAAAGAGATGACTTGCTGAAGGAGCTGATGAGCTAATGGTGACTTTAACCAACTTAATATCTTTCATGTAATGTGGGACGACACCATACCCCTGAATGAAAAACAAACAATTATGCCAGGGAATCAGATATTTTAAACAAAAGCACATCCTCAAAATCTAAAGAAAAATAAATCCCAACTACATTCAACTATGAAGAAGGTAATGTAATTTAATTGGGGCTGCATCTGGGGTTTAGTGATCACACACCTGATAAGACACAACACTGATAGACTTACATTCTAACTACGTATTTTTTAAGCTCATAAAACGATAAAAACTAAAAAACAAACACAATAGACAAATAATATGCTTAAATAACGAGCAAGGAATGAGTAGACATTTCTCCAAAGAAGATATACAAATGGCCCACAATCGTATAGAAGACACTGTACATTAATAATCAGGGAACTGCAAATCCAAACTAGGAACAGACACCTCTTCACACCCACTAGGACGGCTCTAAGAATGGACAAGTAAGTGCTGGTGAGGACCGAAGGAAATCGTCACTTATACATGGCTGACGGGGAAGTAAAAGGGTGTGGCCAGATTGGAGGGGAGTCCGGTGGTTCCTCAAAATGATGAATACAGGTACTACACAAAGTAGAACTGTATTCCTAGGAGTCTGTCCAAGGGAAGTGAAAACAAACACCAACACAGTAATACCCAGATATCCACAACTGCAGGATTCGTAATAGCCAAAAAGTGGAAACAATCTAAAAGCCATCAGATTTGTGAAACTGAACAAAGGAAACCTCACTGATGTGGTGTCAGGAGGCCAGCAAGCAGGGGAACTATCAAGGCCACCATCCCGGCTCCATGGCAGACCCCACAGTAAAGAGACCCTGCCAGACACTAGCTTACTCTCCGGCGGCAGCCCAGCCAATGAGAGGCTGCCACTATTCAGCCAACGAGGAGCCACAACACTTAGAGCTCCCAGCTCCCTCCAATGGCCTTTCTGCTCATAAGAAACCCCACCCCCACCCCATTGCCCTTTTCCTATAAAAGATCATTCCTTTCCTTTGTTTTCTGGACTTGCCTATGGTTTTGCCGCAGCTTGCTTAGTTTCTAGTAGCAATTCTCTGCTATTCTTGAATAAAGCCATTTTTGCTAATAAGTGAGCTAGCTTTATTTTTAAGGTTATTACTTTGTGTCAGGAAGGTGGGCTCCAGAGAAGACCCCCATCAATTCGGAGTCAGGTAAGCACCGTGGCACCGGTCCCCACGGGGCCCGCCGCTTTCTCGCCGATACAGGAGTTTGTGGGTAACTTCCTTCTGGACTCTGATGACCTCTCCGGGCTTTATTTAGGGTTCGTTTTAAAGTTCTTTCCCTTCTGAGAGGACTCATTTGGCCTTTAGTGTGACTCCGTTTTGAGCCAAACTGTACCTGTTGGAACCGCTGGTTTTTCGTCTGATTACTTTTGGAACAAGGCTGTTCCTGTTGCAACTACGCAGTTAAGGAATTTTTCTTCTCCTCTTATAGAAAAAAGCACCTGGGAAATGAGATCCCAGTCGTCAAAACCTCTTAGGGCACCGCTCCCTCTGAGACCCCAGTGGGTCTTACGTTTAAAATATTTGGTTCCTCCAAATGCGCATGTCTACTTAAGTGAACCAACTTAAATAACCAATTTAGAACACCAATGGCCATTGTGGGGAACTTTCTATCTCCCCAGATTTGTTTTTCTCAAAATTAAATTATAAAGCCACAATTCCCCCCAAAAAGTAAATGAATGGGATGCCTACCTTAATAGGTATCTTGACCTTTCCAAAGTTTTCAGGATTCTAAAATTGCCTCTTGACAAATACTATTTCTAAATTAACTGAGGCAAATGTTTGAAAGGAGTCAAATGCCTTGAGGCCTCTTTTCCCCTCCCCTTCCCCATCTTGTACTCAGGGCTGGCTCCCTAGCCATGTTCCTCTAATGAGATTTTAGTAAGTTTCCAAAATGCAAACTCAAAAATAAATCTGTGTGTTTTGCATCACTGGAAGCAAGCAGTTGAAGTTTTAAAAATAAACTTAGCAACATAGGCTTTTAAAGCTATTAAAACTAAATTCTCCTTGACTGTTGAGAATTAGGCTTGGGGTTGATTAATGATTGTGCATTGAGTCCCCTATACAGAATTTTGTTGTTGTTAACAGCCATTTGATTAATAAATATGAGATGCCATCTCAAAAAAACCCCAAAAAAACTAAATTCTCCTTAAGTCCTAAAATATACTTCTGAAAGATAAAAAAGTGAATTAATGGAAAAAGTCCAAAACGTTTTCAAATGACCCCACAACCAATGAAATAAATGGAGAGATGGTGCATGTCCTCAGAACACAGCCCAGAACGCCAGCTCTCCTAAACAGGTCGAGAGCTTTAAGAAAATGCCACCAAATACAACCAGGATTGTTCTGATTTTGGGGGGGATTTTGTTTCTGTTTCGTTTCAACTTGAGAAAAATACTTGTAAACACTGAAACTTTAAGAACTGAGATTTTCCACAGACCAGGTTGGTGAGATTTTGCCAAACATACATTATGGCTTTCTCAACTGTAGTAGTAAGGACTGGGTGGGAGTAACTGAGGCATGGACAAGCACACCATGAGGGTAGGGGGTGCCCTGAGGCAGGCCCACCTGCGTGTGGCTAGTGGCTCTACTCCAGTGCAGGTGCTGCTGGGCCAAGATGACCCTTGGGCCCTGTATGGGATGGGGAGCCTTCTCTTGACCAAGTTCATGTGCAATAACCGTGTCACTGTACAGTTAACTGGGATAGACAAAAGTAGAACCCAACTTATAGACAAATGCATTAATGACCTGAGAGATGGAGAGTTTTCTTATAGAAGAAAAGAGGGCAAGTTGCAAAGGAACTGACAGAGAACCTCAAGTCTAGGAAAATTAAGAAGAGCCCCTCAAAGTGTAGAACAGAGAGAAATGACAACCCCCCCTCCAAGGAGAAAATACTACAATACCTAGAAATGGAAAAGGGTGGATTACCAGAGAAGGTGAAAGAAACATAAGAAATCAATAAACATATGGACAACTTAAGGTGAAAATCACTGGAAAACCCTGCACAGAGGACAAAACACCACATAGGAGAATGTTCAGGCCCAATGGTTATCAGCAAAAAGCAATCTGTAATCACGAGAAGGTCCCAATTCACACACTCAAGATGGCCAGTTTAGCTGGAAAACTCCCAAGGGCTGGAAACGTGGCACAGCGTTGCTGGAAAAGCTGGCCCACCCTGGCCACTTCCCAGTGCATTGGAGCCTACCCATAATGCACAACCCACAGTGCTTCACCAGCGTGGGAGGAGGGCTGGAGCAGCGTGGCCAACAAAAAGCCAAAGATAAACTTGAGGCAGCCCACGTCCCACAGGGACCACAATACATGAGATAACCAGGGAACAGGCCCAGGAGGCCCGAGGAGCCCTCGGTGCGACACGGCGCGATGGGTCATAATTCACTTATGGCAAATGCAGCAAAATCACACCACCCACTGCTGGGTGATGAAAACAGATGTAAATCTGCAAGTGACAGAAGAGCCAGGACAGCGGTCACCCAGGGGCAGGAGGGAGAGCGGGAGGAAGATGGGGACACTGAAAGGGACCCAGCCCAGGTGCTCACCTGGGTGGGTGAGTCCACAGGGGCTTATGGCTGTTGTCAAACTAAGGTCACCGTCAACCCGTGTGGAAACGGTCCCGAGGTGCCCACAGCACCACTCGGGGAGGACCGAGCACCCCACACCCTGCCGGGGCCTCCCTGCACTCTCGGCTTCTCGAGGGGACCCTGGGGGGCAGGCACCTGCAGGGGGAGCCGCCTCCCTCCCCCTCGCGCCCCAGGTGACGCACCCGCTCCAGCACCGAGGGTCACAAGCAGGCGGGGCCCCGGCCGTCCCAGTGCGTGAATGAGAAGCCGGGCTCCCTGCTTCCGCCCCGTGTTCCAGGAGGAAGGGGTTGTTCAAACACCTGCAAACTGCCCCTCCCTCTCAGAACACAGGTGTCTGTCACCTATGAGCCTCTTGGTAA